TATGCATTTGGCAGACCAGTACAGTCGTTACTCATTTTGTTGCAGCTCTATGAACTTTAAAATGTATAGCAAAAGATTCACTTGAAGCTTTGCAAAAAAAAAGAAAAGAAAAGAAAAACCTAATTTTTCTATGCCATCTTGTATGCCGTATCATTACGGCATATAATTTGATTGTTCACAAACCATGATGTCAACAGTTTTTAAAGCTTTCTATCGATTGTAGTAAATGGGAAACTTAATAGAGCCTGTAATAAGACTAACAATTACACTGCGACAAACAAGTGTCTATGAGCCTGCCAGGGGTTATAAATAGCTTATACAGTGCTTGCATTGGGAAAGTAAACACATGCAATGAAGTAAACATTTTTTCCACTCCTCTTTTTTCAGTTCTGGAAAACTGTACAGATTCTTTGCTCTAAAATATATTACAAAACTGGGCACTGCTGCTCGGAAGCATAGTGAACCAGACAATCATTGTCAAGAAGCCTGCTCTACTAAAATGTTGAGGTGATGGTGAAGACAATCACCCCTTCAAATAAACCATCAGCATCTTCCCTTCCCATGCCCAGTATACCTGAAAGTATTGTCAAGTAAAGAGAAACACAAGTGGCTAAACTACGATAAAACACAAAACTGTACAGTTGAAGCCTGAGACAAAGCATGCTAGGGCTATAAATGCATTCCGGATAAGAGGAGGAGAGCGGGTTGGGTAATAAGAGCCACAGACAGGTTCAAGGTTCAGGATGATGCTCTCCTGGAAGGTTCCCACATGACAGTCACAGACCCCACAACCATAAGCTGAGCCTTATAAAAGAAGAAGGTGGAATAAAAGCTTAGCAAACAGTTGCCAACGCGCCTTAGATTTCTCCCTTTCTGCTGTGTCTGCCACACTTGTCCACCTCCTAGGAAATGTACGTAGGTGTGGGCTGTCAGTATATAAGTGTGAGTAAAGGGGTGTTGTGCTGTGTGCTTGCAGGCAGGCAGATACCATCAGGAAAGAGCCTCATCCTCTCCCACGTAGGGCAGCTCCATATTCCTCTTGCCCTCACCACTCTCCTGCTTTCTAAGTAAAAGCAACCGGAGACACAGAATTAGTTACGGCACTGCTCTCTCAGCCTGCTGTCACTCCCATATCAGTGAACAGAGAAACAAACAAGCTCCTGTTAAGCTCAGTTTAGGAACTGAAACCAACCATTTAACTGTCACATAATGCAAGACGGTGAACATTAAGGAAAGGCGGCAAGCTGCCGGGCAAGTTTGTTTCTACAGCACCAATCATACACATGGAGGAGCTCAACAAAGTAATGAGGAAAAGGTGAAAAAGTTATACGAGACAAATTAATCATTTTTGTCAAGGAACTTTGTTAAGAGACACAAAGATGCTAATTTATAGGCGCAACCTTTGGATAGCCTGCTTCATGCAGGGGATGAGTAACAACATATCAGGATAAATGGATGCCCTGGGCTCATAACTGCTGTGCAGAGACAAACCGATTTAATAATTTTTCAGTTTAAAGTTTTCAACGTGTGGTGGTGTAACACTTTAAATATACAGTAATGCCAATCAGCACAACACCACAGACTATAACACCTCTTACTCAAAATTACAACTAGATTGCATTAGATTGTGTAGGTGTTCACGATATTTTGTCCACTGCCTGTAGTATAGTACATCATACTGCAGATGAGGTGCTCAGAATAAAATTCTTTAAGTGTTTAATCACAGCTTATTACTTGCCAGAGACATATATATATAGGAAGTAACTTATGTAAATGAAATATTGCTTGGTCTGTTCAAATAACGTCAGCTGCTCTAGTGCTTAGTTTATAATCAAATAGAATTTTCTGTACTACACAGCACATGCTTTACTAAAATCACCCTCAGACACGACACATACAGTAAATCTTCTTGCAGATACTACAAACTCTGGAGCATAGCATGACAGTCCCAACGATGGCTTGTCCAAATAGCCCTAAACTAGCAGAGGCTAGTATACAACCTTGATGCACAAGGGTATTTGACCATTAAAGCCATATTGGGAAATACAGCTGTTTATATCATGCCAGGGGTCTTAAAGTGCATTCCCTACCACTTAAACAGCATTACAGCAGGCAAGAGTTGTCCTAAGGTTATTTACCTTCTTTGGTTACAGTGAATGTAGCAGTAACTCACATTGCTTGCCCTGCCTTTTCTGTAGGGCAGGAGAGGGAGGAGAGAAGTATAACAGTCTACTTGACAAACATTAGTTGGCCCCACTGATGGCAGCAAAGTATAAGAGGACCCAGCAGCTCCAAGTAAGAATATTGTAGGTACAGCATACTGCTTTAAATACTTGACTCCTAATATTACTGCAAAGCCTTGGCTAGAGACAGAGTTTAGAAACTGTAGTTCGTCTCTAAACAATCCTTACGTGAGTGTTTGCCCTGGAGCACACAAACTGCTGCGGTCCTCTTTACGGCCCCAGTCAAAGGGGTTGCCAAAGGAGCGCTTCCTCAGCATGGTTCTCACCAGGATCTGAAAAGAAACAGTGAGCAATAATACACACATCACCAAATCACCTTCATTCCAAACAGTGTTCTGTTGTAAAACAATGGTGGGATTATGGTGTGTGTCTGCCCCTTCCATTTAAAAGCTGGTTAGATATGATCACTCAAGAAACTGAAAGGTTTCAGATTCATCCAAAACCTTCAGATCTCTCGCAACATTTGGCGTTAAATAATGTAACTTGTGAAAATTAATTAAAAAGACTAAATGATGAGTCATCCATCTCCTCTAGCACAAAGTGCCGACAGGGCAATCGAGTAGGAGGTAGTGGTGTAGTGACTGTGTTGTGAAGTGGTGTGATGTGACTGAATTATGGAAAAACTATTAAAAAAAGAAGATAACAAATATCCTTGATACTAATGTCAGTATTCAAGAAATTAGCAATTCATTAGCCCCTGACAGGATTCATTCTCAGTTATGCCGTGGCATTTTTTTATACCTCTCAAAGCAGCTGAATAAAAGACAAACTGTGCCCATTGGTGATATTTCATTTAAGGACATCAGAAGCAAAAACAAAGCAGATCTGTGTGCGTTTTTCAACAATTTGAGAATCTAGTGAGACAAAAACAAGTTCTTAAACTCACCACTGTAGCCAGGCTAGGGATGTGTTTAACAGAATTCTCCACCTCCTCCTCTGTCACCTCAATCAATGTACAGCAGTTATCATCCTCCGGGGGGAGGGGCTCGGCACCGTGCCTCGTCACCCACGGATGCACCTGGACACAAGCATGAGAAGGACAAAGAAGCCGTTTATGAATTTCCAATTCTTCTGCACACAAAAACACAGTATCTTTGAAGCTGCACAAAACTGAACGTGCTTTTGAAACTTTGTATCAGGAGGCTTTCTGCACAGTGTATGAATATTAAACATGCTTTAATGACAAATACTGGACACCAGCAAATCAGTTCAGTGAGTTTACCTTAATCTGGGGGACTGATATCCTGGTCTCTGGATTCTTGTCCAGCATTTTCAGCAATAAATCCTTGAGATCATCTGATATATCAGCACTGCCGAAACAGGAAGAATCACAGCTACAAATGTATTCATTACATAAATAACTAAATAAACTAGTAGCCTGTAAAATTCATATTGCATATATAACTTTAACAAGAAGCCATTTAATTAAATAGCCGGGCAGTGGTAGCCTTTTGACACAGATTCACAGAAGGAGCAGAACTGACTGTTCAGATAACTCCACAGGTTGTGTCTTGATTTTCTGATGAAGACTAAGGATGCGCTCATCCATAAATGGACACTGCAAATAAAAGACAAGTGGTGCTTTCAGTTAAAGATCAGCAGATTGTCAGCAGAGGAAACTAAAGAGTCTTTTACAAGAGCCCAGACTCACCACTCCAAAGATAAAGCAATAAAGTGTTACTCCCATGGCCCAAATATCCAAAGCCTTCAGGAAAAAAAAAACATATTACAGTCATCTGCATTATGAAATGCATCTTTCAATGTATAATAGTTGAAATATGAAAACTAGCACAGATAATTCTTAATATATGAAGGGTAAGAAAATAATTTTAAAATCAAAAAGCAAAGCTCTTTGCATTTCTGAAAGCCTTCCCTAGAGGGCACTAGTTAGCTAACTGTTCCTTCACCTTTCCAGAGAAGTTCTTTCTGGTGTCAGAGAGTGCTTCAGGGGCAAGGAAAGCCGGCGTCCCCACTGTGCTTGTCAGGAGGGCATCAGCTCCTTCAAACTGGTTACTAACTCCAAAGTCAGCTATCTTGATGTGTCCATCCTCTCCAACTAACAGGTTTGAGGGCTTGATGTCTCGGTGGATGATCCTCTGGTAATGTACTGTTAAGTGAAAAAATATTCATTATTACAACAACAAGGCCCCATCTGCAGAAATCTGCACATGGCAAGAGCTGATTATACAACACAGTTACAGGCTGATTGGAAGAATAACACGAGGTTTGGAAGACTCACAATACTCAATTCCCCTGAGCAGATCCTGGAAGTAAAAGCGTGCCTGGTTTTCACTGAAAGCTTTATCTGCCGGCACCTCCATCACAGCCCTGGATACACAACCAGGCACACACACACACACACACACACGCGCACAATTAGCAATCATACCTAATGGGACTGAGCTCATTCCAGTGTCACAATCATTACTATAAAATAGGCTTAGCTTACCCTTGCTTGACCAGCTCAAACACTGTTACAGAAAAAGATGTTAGTGTTAAAAGCTTTTCAGTCACCAAGCCATGAACAAAGTAAAAACAACAGCAACATTTTTGATATGGGTTTCCAGTGACCTTGTTTTATGCATGACTACATGAATGTTTGATGTGCGTGTGCATGTGTGTTGTTGCTGTCCTGAAGGTTGACTGTCTGACTACAACATACCCATGTACAGATGGTCCTCGCTGGGGTCATCTAAAACCTGGCACCAAATAAAAAAAAGAATGAAAATAAGTGTAAACACACACACACACGATCACATTTGTATGCCAAAATATGAAACAGCCATCGCTCTGGAATGACTTATCTGTGAAGTTAACACCAATACATTTGTGCAAAACTATTAAGGCAGCTGTCAATCCTGTGCAGATGTGTTAGACCTTAATGCTCCAGTGTAATTTGAAATAACCCTTAATGGATAATGCTGTGTTAATCTTTATCTTATCTTCCTTCCTCCCAGCTTCTTTTCAAATTGTTCCATTAGTAAGTTGGCAATGAACCATTGTTGCTCTTTGAAATGAAGAAATGATACTGAAAGACTCTATTCTTTGCCTTAGCATCAGCTGGCCCAGTTTTTTGTCACTCAATTACCTTCTAAATGTTTTCCTTAATCTACTGTGCTACCTGCACCTGTTCTTTCTGAATGTATCACACATTTCAGAAATATCTCTGGGCAACACTGAATTAAATAGCCCAAATGTACATTTTAATAGCACTTACCTCTACTAGTTTCACCACATTAGGATGGTCCAGCTTTTTAAGGATGGCAATCTCTTGATAGACCCGCTCCAGGGGTCCTTTGGGCTGAGGAGGACCTTCAGGGGCTGCTTTGGCTCCACGAGGGGGAGGCCTCCCTGATGGAGGAGAGTGGGACAGTGTGGATGGGAATGGGCGACAGGTGAGGAACAGGAGAAGGACAGTAAGGACAAAGACAGAGTGGATTTCAGTACTGTTGACTGTGCCCCTCTGCTGCGTTAAACCATCTGCCCCTGGCTCTAGACTTACGTGGGAAACCTGCCTGCCTCATCAGCCTCTTCTTGGATAATACCTTCATCGCCTACAGGAATAAAAGGGAGATAGAGTTGGATGAGGGAGAGGATAAGAGAAAGAGGGAGAGGGGGTGGGAGAGCACAGTGGGTAAGAGACCCAGAGAAAAGATGAACAGAAAGGTAGACAAAAAAGAAGAGCATGTTAAAGCAGAGTGAGGTGATGCAGTATCTGACAGTGCACCCACTCACATACCTACAGGAGAAATTCCTGATGCCTATAACTTTCTGCCCTCTGTCCCCCTTGAACACCCTCTGAGTATCTGTGAGTGCTAACAAAGACCAGCGTCATCAGCACTAAAAAACTAAAAGGGCTGAAATATCAGCATGGAAGTAATGTACATTGACTCATTATCACTTATCTTAAACAAACTGCTCCATAAACCACTCAATATAATGTGTAAAACATTTTCAGACTGTATGTTTTTTTATTGTCATTTTAAGCTGAAAAAACTTAAAAATCAACTGGACTAGATTTCTAGGTCGAAGACGTTTCACCTCTCATCCAAGAGGCTTCATCAGTTCTCCAGAACTCTAGAGCTTCTCCAGAACTTCTCCTGAAGTTTTTTCAGCTTACTATGACCTGGATGACTGAGAATCTGCACAGACATATTGTTATTTTAAGCTATTAAAATAAAAAATCCATCCATTTTCCTCCGCTTATCCAGAATCGGGTCATGGGGGCAGCAGTCTAAGCAAAGATGCCCAGACTTCCCTCTCTCCAGACACTTCCTCCAGCTCCTTCAGGGGAATGCCAAGGCGTTCCCAGGCCAGCCGAGAGACATAGTCCCTCCAACGCCTTACAGCTCAGCTCCTTCTTCACCACGACAGACTGGTACATCGACCGCATTACTGCAGAAGCTGCACCAATCCGCCTGTAAATCTCTCCTGTTCCATCCTTCCCTCACTCGTGAACAAGACCCCAAGATACAGTGAGGAACAGAAGTATTTGAACACCCTGCAATTTTGCAAGTTCTCCCACTTAGAAAT